TATGTATATATATATATATAGCAGGTGCTCAGGTGCTTTATATGTGCTTATTGAATGACTGAATGAGCTCATATAATCTTCCCAACAAGCTCAGGGAGATCTTGCCTGAGGCCAGTGCTCTTTCCCTGTTCTGATTTCCTGTAGCGCCTGTTCTCATAGCATCACAAAATGGAGAGCAATAGGCTCTGAAAAACATAGAGGGCTCTACACCTTGACCATCTGGGCTCAAATCTCCCTTCTGCCACTTCCCAGCTGTGTGACATTGGGTAAATTCCTTAACATCTCTATGCTTATAGGACCCATCTTGTGGAGTAGTTGTAAGAATAAAACACATTAGTTTCTATAACATGCTTTTAGTTTAAGTACCCACTAATCTTAGTAGTTATTAATATTATTAGCAGAGCATAGATTCTGGAATTAGATGAGCCTGGTTTTCTCTTATATTTGCGAATTATTCCCTGGCTTTGGACAAGTCATATCACACCCCTGAGCCTCAGTTTCTCTACCTGCTGAACTGGAATCTCAAGACCTACCTCAGAAAGCTGTTGTGAGGGTTGGAGAGAGTGAAGCCTTAGCACTGTGGCTGGTGTCTGGTGGTTCCCTTCCTGATGGGCCAAATCTGATTGTGTGGCCTTTTAGACAAGCAGCCCCATGACGCCAGGCTCCATGTTTGCATCAGGGCTGCATCTGCAGCCCCTCTGCACCTGGCATGTGGTAGCTGGTCAGTAAAAAGTTCTTTACTGGATGAATGAATCAATAATAACAGGGGACCATGCTTCACTCACCTTTGTGTCCAACCCAAGACTAGTGCGACACCTAGCACCTAATTTGAATAAATGTTTGTTGACAGAATAAATAGATTTTTAGAAATAGCTGCTTGTTTCTATTTCCAGTTCCACTTGAATTTCTGAATTAACCTGAGAAAGATACTGTGATGGTTAATTTTTTGTGTCAGCTTGACTGGGTTAAGGCATGCTCAGATAGCTGGCAACACTATCTGGTGTGTCTGTGAGGGCATTTCCATGATTAGCCTTTGAATCAGTAGACCGAATAGAGATCTGCCCTCACCAATCCACATTGAGTATCATCAAATCCACCGATGGCCCAAGTAGAACAACAGGCAGAGGAGTAGCAAATTCACACTCTGTGTTTGAACTGGGACATAAATCTTCTGCCTTCGAGCATCAGCACTCCTGGTTCTTGGGCCTTCTGGCTTAGACTGGAATCACAGCACCAAGCTTTCTGGGTGGCTAGTTTGCAGACGGCAGATTGGTGGACTTCTCAGCCTCCATAACCACGTGATTCAATCCCTCATAATAAATCTCTTCCTATGTATCTATACATCTCCTATTGGTTCTGTTTTTCTGGGGAACCATGATGAATATAGATACTTATTAACTTGTCCCAAATTTCTCTGAGCCTTAGTATTCTTTTTTTTTTTTTAACAATTTTTTCTTTTTTCAATTGATGAATAATAGATGTACATAATTTTGGCATACATGTGATTATTTAATATATTCATATAATTTGTAAAGATCAAATCAGTGTGCCTGGGATATCCATCATGTCAAATATTTGTCTTTATGCTAGAAACATGCTAATTATTCTTTTCTGGCTATTTTGAAATATACAATAGATTATTGTAAACTATAGTCACCCTATTGATCTAACTGCCTTAGTATTCGTATCTGAAAAATGGGGCTATTTATATCTACCACATAAGAGCGTTCTGAAAAGTAAATGAGGCAATATGTTAGTTCACTGTTGTTCCATTCCCTGAGCCTCAGTTTCCACATCTGTGAAATGGATATCCACTCATTCATTCATTCATTCAGCAAACACAGGGCTCACAAGCAAGGCACCATGGCTAAGCAAGGTGAGTAATTCAGCGTCTGCTTTGGAACAGCCCATCAATAGTAAAAATCCGGTGGGAGGAGAGCCACAGTACATGTGAGGTCTCTGGAGGCTAGGGATGTGGGGCGAGGGGATCTCCAGAGTTTCAGGGAGCTTGGTAGGAAGACTGTGAAGGTTATGGCATCACCAACTTGGTGTAATCACCAACACTGCATCAGTTTGGAATGGAATTGCCCGCTGCGGCCTCTGATTTTCATAGCCTGGTTGGAAAGGCGAGTCAGTCCTGCTGTGGCCCCTCTTCCTACTTGCGGCTCACAGAGCACGCCAGAGACAAGTGAGCATCACATTGCAGCGAGCATCTCGTTCAAATAGACATTCCCCTCTGAGACTCAGCTTTACTTTCTTCCCCTTCTCCTGGATCTTACCTTCTCAGGGGACTGAACGGTGGTTCTGCACTCTCAATGCAGAAAAATGCAGAGGGCACCTCTAACAAATGCTGGGTCCCTGCCTGGTTCTCCGAAGACAAAGTTGCCCTTTCTTGAGCTGGGACCCAGTGAGGAGATGCTTGGGTGTTGGAGACATAGGAGAGACCAGGCTAGGTCTATGGGCTCCTGCATCCAAGTGGGTCACATGCTTATTCCTGAACTTCACAGCTGGCTCCAGGTAACTGACACCTGCCAGCCAAACTCACAAGAGACTGAAACATCTACATTAGAATTTTATATTTAAGCTGGGTGTATGTGGGGTTGGGAGAGATTATTCATCTCCAGTGACCAAAATATTTGCACCTGTTATTCATAGCAGTCTTTTGTCTTTTATTTTCAGTTGAAAGAAATTTACATGCCAAGGGTATTTAAACATCAAGGGTGGGTCTGCTGTCAGTGGCCTGGCCAGAGGTAGAAGGATGACTGAGTCCCAGCGGCCCATCCGCAGCAGGCCTCAGGGAAGAAGCAAGATTTATGAGGTGAGAGCATGCCTGGCCCGCTGCTTCCATTGGGAAGGGCCTCCCTGCAGTATTTTCTGTCTCGTCAATGCTGCATTTCATTTTAAATTGCAGCTGAAAGCAGATATTTTCCCTCTTGCCTATTACACCTCTTAATTTGTCTCTCCCTCTGCTGTTATTTGTCTCTATAAAGTGTTTTGCGTGAAAGACCCACACAGCACAGTGTTGCTTTGCCGTAGGTTAGGTTTAACAGGAAGGGAAGATGCAGAGACTAAGTCCAAGGAGGAAGATGTAAGGGTCTTGGGGTTGAGGACACGCGTGTCTGGGCATATATGCTTGGCAGTGTGTATATGTTCATGTTTTGGGGGGTTACCTGTTGTCTGAGTCTGTAGGTGTGTGTGCGCCCATGTCTATCTTTGTACTGATGTGTTTATATGTATACTTTGGTACCATCGCTTGGGTGTCCATGCCTAAATTAAATGTACGTTTGCATGCAAATACACATCCACATGCCAGTCTCTGTATCTACGCATAGGAGCACACATATGCACATAAACATATGTAGGTATCTAGGTACACGTGTGTCACATGTGTGTGGTCTTCTGTGCACGTGCCCAGGGTTCTCTCCCTTTCCTTGCTTCTCACTGCTGTTTAGCGTCTCTCCCTGCCCCACCTAGGGGCCCTGCCCCGTTTGGGGATGTGGGAAAAGGAAGACAGGGCAGTGGTCTGAGGAAGAACAGTGGAAACAGCGCCTTAGCCCGACCCAAAGCGGCCACAGCTCTCTGGCTCGGCTCCAGCCACCCCTCCCTCACAGCCTGGCGGCGAGCAGCACCGCGGCTCGGGCGAGAGCGCTGAGAACCCCGTGCAGCCCCAGGGCGCGGGCCGTCGCTCCCCGACAACCCTGGGCTGGCACCGAGGGGCGCGAGGTCCCCAGCGGTGGGCAGAGCCCTCCGGACTTGCCGTGTCTGCTGCCCGCTGCGGGGCACCGCCAACCGGAGCAGCGCGGGCGGAGGGGTGGTCTCAGCCGCTCGGGGTCCAGCGAACGCTGGCAGTAACCAATGGGCGACTGTGGCCCAACGGGGATCCCTCCGAGGCAGCCAATGACCTAGCTCCGCTCTCCACCCCGCCCCCGCCAACCCGCGCAGCTGGACCATTGGCGCTGGTGGGATGGGGGTGTGCGCGACGCTGGCCCTTTGGGGAGGGGGCGTGGCTTGGGGTCGGTCTCCGCTCCCCTCCCCGGCTCAGCCCCTGCGCCCCTACCCCGGCGCGAGGCCATTGGCCTGGCTGCGGCGCCGCCGGTGTGGTGGGGGCGGGCCGCGGGGCGCGCGCCGGTGGGCGTGGCCTGAGGGCGTGGCCGGCGGGAGGCGGGGCCGCGGGCGCTGTCGCAGTGAAAGCCCGAGCGAGCCGCGGAGGCGGCGGCGGCGGAGCGGGCGTCCGGGCGGGTGTGCGCGCGTGTGGGGCGCAGGCTCGGCGGCGGCGGCGGCCCGTCTGGAGCGGCCGCTGAGAGGACGCCAGCTGCAGCGGGGGAGGCGCAGCCGGGGCCGCGCGCTCCGCGGAGCCGGCGGCGCCCGGGAACAGGTGATCCCAGAGGAGCACGGAGCCCTACCGAGTTGGCGGGGCGGGAGCCCGCGCTCCTGGGTGCAGCTGCAGCCGCCCAGCCGCGGCTCGTCGTGGACGGCGCCCCGCTCTGGACCCGGGCTCGGGCATCCCTCAGCCGCCGGCGGCCTGAGGCCCCGCGTCCTCGCAGGCTCGGAAGTGCCTGCTCCCGCTCCCTGGCCTCTCCCCGCGCCCCGTCGCCCGCTCCGCAGCGGAGCAAAGTTGTGGACGTGTCCCGATAGCCGAGCCGGGGCGCTGTCGCGGTCCGGCCGGTGTGCGCGCTCTCGGAGCAGCGCTGACACGCCAGCCCCGCCACCGCCTCGCCCCCGAGCCAGCCCCTCTGGAAACTGCTTCTGAGGCTGAAACTTTGGGCGCCGACGGGCGCGAGGGAGGTCGAGACGCTGAGGGCGGCTCGGCGCGGGTGACGGAGACGCCGCTCGGCCCGGGCCTGCGGGCGCCCCTGGGCGCCGACAGCCTGGGCGCCGCGGACGGCATGTGACGGCCCCGGCGGCGGCCGCAGCGCGGGAAGGCGCGGGCCCCGGCCGCTGCAGGGAGGGGCTGCGCGGCGGCCGGAGGGGAGGCTGCGGCGCGCGGCCGGCCGCTGCGGGCCCGGGCCCCGAGCTGTGCCGCCCGGCTCGCCCGGGCCCCGCCAAGGCCGCTGTGCCCCCGCCTCCGCGCAGGAGCACTCTCTCGAAACTCCCTGAACTTCGGGGACACTCCCCGAAGCGGCGAAACTCTCAGGCTTGGCAGCCCGGCCCAGGGACCCCCATCCCGGGCAGCGCTCCTGGACGCCTTCCCCTCGCCGAGCTCCCGGAGGACACGTGCCTGGACTCCAAGGGCCTCAGGGGACCTCAGAGGGAGCTGACGGTCCCCAGCCCCTTGCCAGGCCACGATGCTCATGAGGAAAGTGCCCGGCTTCGTCCCGGCCTCCCCCTGGGGGCTGCGGCTGCCACAGAAGTTCCTCTTCCTTCTCTTCCTTTCGGGCCTTGTCACCCTGTGCTTCGGAGCGCTCTTCCTGCTGCCCCACTCCTCTCGCCTCAAGCGCCTCTTCCTGGCCCCCCGGACCCAGCAGCCTGGCCTGGAGATGGTGGCGGAAATCTCCGGCCATCCCCGGGCCCATGAGCAGGAGCCACCCCCCAACCCGGCCCCAGCTGCTCCTGCCCCGGGCCAGCACGACCTCAGCAGCCCGGGCCGCAGGAAGGGGTGGCTGCGGCGCACCCGCCCCACCGGGCACCGCGAGGAGGCGACGGCCCTCAGGCCGGAGGAGGAGAGCGTCCCGTTCAGCTTTGACTTTAATGCCTTCCGGAGCCGCCTCCGCCACCCGGTCCTAGGGACTAGGGCCAGCGAGAGTGAGGAGCCCCAGAGCCGAGTGCGAGCCCAGCGGGAGAAAATCAAGGAGGTAAGGACCCCCCCACCAAAGAAAAGACCCTCTGGCACTCCCATGCCATTCCCCTGGCCCCAGTCTCCCCTGGTACCTACTCTACTCTAGGCCTTTCAGACACTCTGCACCTTCCTCTCTCTTCCCAAACTTCCCACCTTCTCTCCTGCCTGCCCACTGTCCCACTATTGGGTTCAATTAATGGTCCCCACCCTGACTGATGGCAGCTGCACCCCTGGGCCCCCAGACTTTCTGGTCTTTCTTGTCCAGTCCCCAGGCCAGGTGAGCTCCACTCCTCCCCTTGTGGAGTTGCTAGTGAGAGTGGGGTTCAAGTTCCTTAATGGACACCCTCTGTTTGCATTTGTAGACACAGAACCACTGGTCACCTTCTTTCTCGCTGTGTGTCATTAAAACCCCTGTAGGACCTGCTACCTGGAAACCCAGGATTTGGGGGGTATTTGGTGTCCTGCAAATATTTTGTAATCTAGTCAACAACCTACAAACTGGAGGATGTGTATTCTTGCTAACTGTTTCTATTGAGCTTTGGAACAATTGTACATAATTGCATGTGATGCAGGAAGGAATGATCAATAAGACGGTGGTAATGTTTCAGAAGCACCGAGGTTATTGGCTTAATGAAGCAGGTCTTGGACAGGTTCCCTATAGGGATTGTACTAGGGAGGGGTATGAGGGATCACCTTAAGTCTGAGTCTTAGTTTAAGAAATCAAAAGCAAATGCAGCCTCACGTGGCTTCAGGATGGTTGCCAAGTCGCCACTGGTGACTAAATATCCTGCTTGACCACTGTTAGAGCTGCCTGCATGAGGTTTGTGCCCAGCCATGCCGAGGGGGCTGCAGTGACACCCCCAGGCCACGAGGGGGCTGTGGGCAAGCTGTGGGCCAGGGTCTCCTCCCTAGAAATGAGAGGATGCTCTCCCCTCCCCAGGACCCAGGAGGAAAGGGCTGCTTCTGTCTGGACTGCTAGGTTTGCTGCAAAGGAGTCAGCAGGTCTGCCCTAATTTCCAGGGAGCACAGGCAGCAAGGATCAGGACCTGCCCTGACAAGACCCACTGAGAGCTGGTGGAGAGCTTAGCTGTCCCCTTCTTATCTGAACTATCTTCCCTCCCAAAACCCACCTCTCACCTACTTATCTCTGCTGTTACTCAGCCATCATATGCTAAGCCCTGTTTGGAGACTGTCTTAATCAGCAATCACAGGACATTTTGAGAAGTCAAGATAGGAAGCCACAAGGAAGCTAAGTCCTTGGGGTATGTGCCTATGCACATACATGTGCTCTCAATTTCCAAATTCTTGTTGAAATCCAAAGGTTAACTGAAGGCTGGAACTTGCAGTAGCTAAGTAAGGAGCATGCATTTCTCTCCTTTCTGTTAAGGAATGTGTTGTTGAATACTCACCTGGCCACCTGCAGCTCCCTTGCTGAGCACAGCAGCTCTTTCTGCCCTTCTTGATCTCCTAGGAGGGCAGTAACCCCCAGTGAAATTACATATAAACTGCATGTGTGCAGTTTTTTGTGGGGTGTCCAGAGCTGTCATCAGACTTTCAAAAGGATTAAGAAGTAACTACTGATCTGTCTCTTCAGAAGAGGTTCTTTCTGCATTCATATCTTGAAGGTGGCCCATTTCTGAAAGTCTGGGGTTGAGAGCAATGGCTGGAGGGGTGGCCTGGCTAGTGGGGAACTTGGTTCTCCCCCCCTTTATGAAAAGACAGCCTTTTTTGCCAGCAAAGGCTGGGGGTGATGACCTGCCGGAGCATCTGGGGAGTGGTAAGAGGTGTGAGGATTCTGTGCTTTCAGGTGGATGTAAAAAAACATGATGGAAGGAGGTCCAGTTTGGTTGCCAGATGGATCTTTCTATCTGGCATCTCCTTATGCTCCTTGTAGTTGCTGGAGGCATGTTTGCATATACTTGCAGTTGTTGTTTTTTGTTTGTTTGTTTGTTTGAGACAGAGTCTCACTGTATTGCTCAGGCTAGAGTGCCTTGGCATCAGCCTAGCTCACAGCAACCTCAAACTCCTGGGCTCAGGCAGTCCTCCTGCCTCAGTCTCCCTAGTAGCTGGGACTACAGCCATGCACCACCATGCCCAGCTAATTTTTTCTATATATATTAGTTGGCCAATTAATTTCTTTCTATTTAGAGTAGAAATGGGGTCTCACTCTTGCTCAGGCTGGTTTTGAACTCCTGACCTGGAGCAGTCCTGCCGTGGCCTCCCAGAGTGCTAGGATTACAGGTGTGAGCCACCGTGCCCGGCCCCTTGCAGTTGTTCAGCTAGCCCTCTCTTACTTTTTGAAGACCTTAAAGCTCCTCAGAATGGAGGGGGCTGGTTTATGTACACTATTGTTTTGAAACTTGTTGTCTCTTTGGGCTTCTTGAGTTTGACCTCCCTACCTACAACCTGAAAAATGTGGAACAGAGTTTTTGGTTTAATTGTTAACACAGAGTTATCGTCCCATTGTCCCACCAGATGAGGAATGCATATGACTATTGCTGGAGGGTGTCTTTATTTCCTTCTCATTTAAATTTCTATCTGCGTCATGCCCAGGGGTAGATCATTTTTAGAAAGGTGCCTGTTTTCACAAAAAGGACTGCTGCTTTCCTCTCTGGTTTGTTTATTTCCAGGCATGGATTGATTAGACCCAAGGAGCAGAGGGGGAGCTAGCATCAGATAAAAAAAGGCCGTGTTGTTATGAGATGAGGTTTTTAAAGTGAAAGTGAATTTCAAGAGCGAGTCAGAGAGCAAGATAAATGAGCTTGAGTGAAAACTGGACACTCTGGCTCTAGATCAACAAAGTATATTTATGAACATCCTGAGAGTCAGACACAGGCACCAGGTCTGTGCTGATAAGATGGGTTGAAGCTGCAGGTACTGGGCACACGTGCATCAGGAAACACTCTGTCACTAGAACCAACTATTTTCCCTCACTTTCCAATTTTTGAACCTTGGAGAAAGCAATATGTTAGAGAGAGGAAACCCAGAGAACAGGAATTGGTGTCTCAGCTCAACTGTTAACTGTCTGACTTTGGACAAGCCACCTCTTCCCCTTCTTGAACTTTCCTGTAAAATGAGGTGAGGAAGAGGAAAGTAGGTCATAGATATTCTTGTTTCTAGCCCTGGCCCCTAAGTGGACTGCCAGCTGGGTCGGGGCCTCCTCAGCAGTTGGGCTTTCCCAGCTCTATTTTCAACATATCTTAGTTCTGTGCAGTCAGGAACAGTGGTGTGGTAGCAGTGGTGGTGTCAGCAGCGATAGGATAGGATACACTGTTGTATCCTAGCACCCAGCCCAGAGTGGATAGTCACATAGTTGATAAGTTAATTATTCCTGTCACCCATATTGAGCTTTGGAGATGAGATTAAACAATGACATATCCTCAGCTTGGGATCATGAATAGGAAGGTGTTGGCTGGAATGTAAAGGGGTAAAGGCTTGGCAGCAGCCTTCCTTTTCAGATCTGAGGATAATATAGGAAATAGGAGACATCGTCCATAGGTGGGTTTCTTATGGATTCAAGTTCAAACAGACTTTTCTCACACATGACAAGAGTTGGGATGTACAGCTTGTCAGGGTTATCGCAGTGAAAAAGTTCTTCAGTGGTTCCTACGGATGGTTAGTTGCTGATTTGGGTAACCTCAGTTGTCCCTTCCAGTGAAGGGGGCTTTTCGTTAAAGGGGATTGGGCAATCTGGGGCAGTGAGAATGTGGTTCTGGAGTTGGGGCTGCCCCTAGCCCATATGGTGCTTTCAGGCAAACTACAGAAAGGGTTTCTTCCTCTGGGGAGATGTAGCTCCACTCTGGAGTGCAGGGCGAGGCGGGAAGAACGTGGGTTGAATTTCACCACCCTCCCTGTGCTGTCTGCCTGGCACTCTTATACACTGCTGTGCTCACTAGTCCTGCTAAGAATCCAACCTGGGTTCAAGTCTAGCTACTCCGTCAACTCTGACCTTGGAGGGAAATTCCTGTTTATCACTGGGCCTCTGTCTTTGTGGTAAAACCAAGAGGCTGGCATTCAGGGGATTCTTGTCTCTCCTACATGTCTACCTGTTTACTGTTTTGTTCATGGATCTGCCCAGGCACCTAGAATAGGGTCTGACATTTAGTTGGAGCTCTGATACTTTAATGAATAGCTAAATTAAAGATCTACAACTAACTGTTAAAGTTGCTGGTGCCAGAGGCTGGGTCTTCTCCCTGAGGCTACCTGGAATTCTGAGGAGGCTCGGAGTAGGAACTACAGTCAGGTTTGGGGCCTTAGCAGCTCAGTGACCCAAGAGGCCTTTTAGAAGTTGCAGTAATTTTCCAAGTGCAAGTCTAACTTGAAGGGAGTGGGTAGGTGGCACCCATGAGTTAGTCTGAGTGCGCTAGCTCTTGCCCTCTGTGCCTGCTACGTTCAGCCTCCAGAATATTGCTGGTTATGATATGTGAGAGTGTCTGAATAAGTCATCTTGGCAAATGATCTTTGCTCCCCATTAATGGGCTGGTTCGTCAGTCATGTGTGGTTTCTCTGTGTGTCTGATTTATCGTCACTGGTGCCAGGGACAGGTAGGAAAATTAAAAGACTTTGTGTTCTTTGTAGCATGTGAATCTGAGCCTGCGAGATGTAGAGGATAATTAATATCAGGAACAGCTCAGATTTAAATAGCTTTGCTTCGAAGAGCTTTGTTTGAGTTGCAAATCCATCGAAGATCCTTTTCTTCCTCTCCTGTCCTTCAGTTTCTTCAGTTTCCCTCTTGACCTGCTCTACAAAACATTTAACATAGATGGAGACTGGCCTGTAATAACTGGACAGGTCCCTTGGAAGACCCTTACATCCTAAGCCCAGTCACACACACCTCCTCCTTCTTCCTTAGGATTATGTACTGCAGTTAGAGTAAAACTGAGAACTTCCCCCTAGCAGGTATACAGCTTAACACCCACAGGTTGGTTGGGTCTCTGCTTTCATTTTGAAATGTGCCATCATTGGGGGGAATTAGGCATTCCAGGAGCAATTGCTTCTCAGGCCTCACATTCTTAA